AGCATATTTGATCACAGGAGGCTTTTTGCATCTGACATTGCCATCCGTGACAAAGCACTCTGACTGACCCAACAAATAGCCATTCCCTAGCCCCTTCCCCTTCTTTCTTTTTACCAGAAGTCTAACTTTGTTTGGGTAGTGGCATCGCTAGCCCCAGAGGATGAATCATGATGCGTTCGATGGCGATCCTGGCAATCCTGTCCCTTTGCTGAGTACTCACTTTCCTGGTGTCCCTTCCAGCTAAGGGTGCCCACACCATGTGACCCAGTGCTATCCAGGAGGCCACAGGGGAAGTCAGGCTGGAGGAGCTGGGCAGTTTTCCTCCCTGATGAAAGGATCTTTGAACTTTTCTAGCCACACCTTTTCTTAATGCTTGCAATGTTGTCACAGGGTGATGCCAAATGGAGCTGTGTCTCTGGTGGTTTCAAAACACAGGCAGATGGGACCTATGTACTGCTCTCTTGGATCTGGCAGGCTTGTGACTGCTTCAGTAATAGAGCCAAGCAGAAGTGATGTGCTACATAACTTCTGTTGCTGGAACACTTGCCTTGCATCCCTGAGCTTCAATGTAACAAGCTCAATAGCCCTAAGTGGGCCAGCTAGGAGAAGCCCAAGCCACAGAAAGAAGCCAAGTATAGGCACTCCGATGAACAGTCTCTGCTAAGCTTTTCCCTTGAGCCACCCCAATAAAGGCACCAGACTGTAGAATTTTAAAAGCCTCTACAAGATCCTAGCCTGCAGTTGTTCAAGTCTTCCCAATAAAGGCCCCAGAAATTGTGGAGCAGAGATAATCCAGACCCACGTTGCCCTGTTGGAATTCCTAATCCACAGAATCTGTCAGCATAACAAAACAGCTGTTTTATACCACTAAATGTCAGGGCTGTGTTGTGATATAACAATAGATCATCAGAACAGACTCTCTCTCACAATCCTAAGAGAAAAGCCAAGAGGATCACAGCAATGCTGACCTAGAACCCCAACTTGACCTTTAAACAGCACCAAACCTAACCCCAAACTTCTTCATATGCAAAATAATTACATATCTCTATTGCTTAAGCCACAGTTAGTCAAAAGCATCCCTAAATGATAGGCTACACTGCTGCTCTGGATCACAGATTCAGGTCAAAGCTCTCATCCTTCTTCCCCTGGGCTCCATCAGCTGACTAGCTAGTCTTTCCACTTCGGATCTTTCGCACCCTCCACTAACTGCCATCAGAATGAATTTTCTAAAACACACTCTGAGCCCATCACTTTCTTGTTTAAACCCTCAAAGGTTCCCCATCACTTTGCAGTGGTGCACAGCTGCAGTAGATGACGGAATTATCTTGAAGAACTTCCTAGAAATCCAAACGTCTGAGCCACTCCAGTCCCTAAGAATCAGGTATGTGTATGTGCAAAAAAAAAAAAAAAAAAACCCCCCAGGTGATTCTGATGAAGAGTCTATTTAAGAAACAGGGAAATCTTCCCTTGCATTCCTCTCTTCAGGCAGAATGTAACGCTTCCTCTTCTGTGCTCCCATGATCCCTTATTGACACTTTTACTATCATATAACAATGCTGTAAAAATTTCTATTTCCCTTACCAGATAAGGAGACACCAGAGGGAAAGAATCCTGTCACACAGAACATTGTATCCCCAGCACCCAACGTGCTATCTTGAAGACAGTAAGCATAACAAAGCACTCAAATATTTCGATGAATAAATGAATACAGAACAATAAACCCCTAATGTTTCTGCCTCCAAAGGCAGGTCTGTTTCCTCTGAAACTTTACTCTCTGCCAAGTGAGCAAACAGACCAAGGAAAATATAGACAACTGCAAATTAGATAAACAGATAAGCCCACTGATACTTGGAACGGTTAAGGAATATGACCAAGATCACACAGTTAGTGGCAGATATGAAATTTAATTCAAAAACCTTGCTCTTTCCGCCTCCCCACGCTGTCTCTCTTCTCCACCCTAAATATGATATAGGTTTCACGGGGTTTTTCCCTAAATTACAGACATGCATATAACAAAGAGAAAGCAATAAGCAATGAAGCAGCCCTGGAGGTCTTGTTAAATCTTCAAAGGCCTCTACAGAAGTAGCTATCACCCATCCAGTGCTTTTCCATCTGATGATGCTTCCCAGACGTGTGATCTCATATGATCTTCATGGCATCCTTGAAAGGTAAGTACCAACACTCCCAGCTTCCAGAGCAGGATATTAAAGCTCAGAGAGGTTAAGCAACCTGACCAAGGTCATGCTGCTATGAAATGCTTGAAAAGTAGACTCAAACCATGTTTTAGGGGCCAAAGCCCACCATCTTCCCACCTAACAAAGAGGGTCCTCTTAGAGAATGCTCTGACTGGCTCAGAAGAAAAAGGAGAACACAGTTATTGGAGAAGATTCCTTATCTTAGGGACGTTCTTTAACGTATCTGGTTCTCCGAGGCAGACTGAGACAGGCTAGAAAGACTTCAGACATCTCCTTAAGTCCCCACCAGGGAGTGAAAGGATATTGTCATTCCATGATCCACAACTGGCATAACACTGGTCTCACAAAGCCTAAGTGTTGTTTGATCTCACTATGACTCTGATGGACCCACCCATGAGGAGGGTGGGGATCTGTGAAGAGTTTACAGCCAACTTCCTAATGAGGCCAGCACACACTCAAGTTTCCTCTTAATTTCTGTTTATTACTTTAACAGATAAATGGGCACGAATCATCAAGCCCTACTCTATTCCATTCAGAAAAGAACTGGAGGGTTACTTTTCCACATCCACAGTCTAGAGAATGGGAAGCATCATATTCTTTCTGCAAAAAGAGCACAATACCTCTTGTTTTCTTTCCAGGGAAATTAAAAACCTAAGAAACCATAGTATGGTGGCAGAGACTTCCACAATAGTGAAGTATCATCCATTAAGCACATATATGCCAGATGCTATGCTGTGTTTCAAACATTATCCTTCTTAATCCTTACAAAACTCCATGGAGATTTTTGTTGTTTAGGGTTTTTTTTCTTTTCTTACCTAAAAACTGGATCACCAGTGATTTTTTTTTTTTTTTTTTTTAGGGGACAGGGTCTTACTCCGTTGCCCAGGCTAGAGTGCAGTGACATGATCATACCTCACTGCAGCCTCAAACTCCTAGGCTCAGGTGATCCTACTTACAGGAAATTACATTATCAATCCTAATTTACAGGTAAGGAAACCCAGATACAGATTAAGGAATGTTCATGAAATCAACAGCTTCTCAGAAGCAGGGCTGAGATTCGGGCCCAAGTGTAGCCAGCTCCAACGCCAGTATTTTCATCCATGATATACTACCGCCTCTACAAGCTTTTCACCTTGTAGAGGTGAATCGCCTAATCATAGCACCATCTCAATGAGGACCTTTAAGATCAGAGTATGTGGATCAATAGACACGAACCCTTTTTGCCCCTGTTGAACTTTTACAAAAATAAACTGGAAGTTTGGGTTTCTCAGTTACCACTAGAATTAAGTCAAAGGAACTATAAAAATTTTTTTTTTCTTTTTTTGAGACGGAGTCTCACTCTGTTGCCCAGGCTGGAGTGCAGTTGCATGATCTCGGCTCATTGCAACCTCTGCCTCCTGGGTTCAAGTGATTCTCTTGCCTCAGGCTCTAGAGTAGCTGGGATTACAGGCACGCCTGGCTAATTTTTGTATTTTTAGTAAAGGCGGGGTTTCGCTATGTTGGCCAGGTTGGTCTTAAACTCCTAACCTCAAGTGATCCACCTGCCTTAGCCTCCCAAAGTGCTGGGATTAAAGGCGTGATCCACCTAGCCGGGCCCAAAAATTTTCAAAGCTACACATTTGATGTATCTGAATCACAAGCCTAAAGATACAATGTTTTATACTCATGGTTGTGCTCCTATGGTTGATTCTGTATTTGTTATGTGACACATTTGATGTATCTGACTCACAAGCCTAAAGATACAATGTTTTATACTCACAGTTGTGACCCTATGGTTGATTCTGTACATGTGATGTGACACATTTGATGTATCCAAATCACAAGCCTAAAGATACAATGTTTTATACTCACAGTTGTGATCCTACAGCTGATTCTGTATTTGTTAGGTACTTTAAGCAAGAAAGGATATTATTAAAATGTTGTCATATGGCGTAAGACTTTAAAATCATCTCCAATTACATGTAGTTGACCCTCTATTGACTTTCTTAACAAGATTTTTAAAAATCCAGACCCTTTCAACTAAATATTGAAAAGAGAATGCCATTTTAATTTCTTCATCCAGCCATCCACCCTAGCAAAAGACTATGACCTTCCTCTGCGACCCTGAAAAATCTAAGGTTTTTTAATTCTTACTAAAGAAGAAGTGTTTCCTTATGTACATTTAGAAAAAAAATACAGGAAGCCTGCCTACCTCAGAAAAGAACTCATCCATAAAAGCCGTGTTGTCGATAGCAATCTCGACCTCATCAGTATCATCATCCTGCGTCAGCTGCTTCTGCAAAAGACAAAAATGAACAGGGTGAAACTAAAACACAATAAATGGCTAACATTATTGAAAGCTCATGAAGTACCAGGAGCTATATTAAGCATTTTATACATAATTTCCTTTATAACTCATAACAGCTCTATGATATATCAAACAACTCTGGTATCTCAACATCTGAAATTAAATCCTAGTTCTACCAATTACTTTTTCTTTCTTTTTTTTTTTTTGCAGTGGGTGAGAGGTGAGAAAGGGAGGAACTAGCAAGTTACCTATCTTGCTGTGCCTAGGTTTCCTTCTCTGTTAAATGCTGACAACAGCACTACCTGCTTCATAGGGTTGTGTCAGGAATAAAAGAGATAATGAACATAAGACACTCTTGCATGGTGCCTAGTAAACTGTAAGTTCAACACATGCTAGGTTTTGTTGCTGGTGGTGGTGGTAGTTACTGTAACCCACTACAGTTGAGGAACCCACAACTTAGGGAGGTTAGGTAACTTGACAAAAACCACACAGCTAAAATATGGCAATAGGTAGAACTGAACTCATCCTTTGGATCTGAACCCCAGGGCTGCTAAACCCTTCTTCACACTGTTCAAACAGGTTCCAGACACGATTCCTCCAAAGCACAAGCTTTCAATCCTCACAGTAAGGGTAAAGATTTTCCTGTTTTCAGAAACCACCTATTACAAAGCAAACAGTGCCATGTCACTCCCTGTCAGAAGCTCCTGTTTATAAGAAAAAGGAAGTTCTCCCCCAGGCCCCAGCCACCTCT